CATCAATTTATTTAACTGAGAACCAAATCAAATTGATTTGAAAGATTGGACAAGACTTTGAATCCAAAAGATAAATTTGGTCAGATAGATGTTAGAATTGATTTTTAGTTGTTGAAAGCATTCAGAGTGAGCAATAAAATCAATCAGATTCAAACTAACAAATCAAAAATTGACCAAAATTCCAGAATTGGAAGATAGAATTTTGGGTATTGGAATTAATAAAGCTATATCAATTACAGCTATAAAGAAATTTTCAAGATTGACCAGATTTTGAGAAACTGATCAAAGTTATATTACAATAAAAAATATTCTTGAATGTTGGTCAGATGCACTTATCAGTCTTGATGATGAAGATGATATGACCAATAGGATTTAACTTAGGAGTGTGTCAACTACTTTGAACAATTTATATTAATGCAATCAAGATGGGAAGTGTAATGATGAATTTGAGTCTGGATTTTCTTTAAGAAGTAGTCATTTGATTGGTTCAACTTGGACAAAGTTAATAAAAGTCAATTGGATTTGATTATCAAGTTTATTAGAACATGACATCAAATTCAAATATTGATCAGTCTTAGGTTCATCAATCAGTTCAGTCTCAGTAAGTTTAGGGGCTATAAAAGTATTTAAGTCTATTCTACTTTTCTTCTCTATGACTTATTGATCAAGAAGCAATGGATTCTATAAGTTTGAGGATTAAGAGAATGACCATGGACCTACAACTTCTTTAGAAGCAAAAAGGCCAGCAGCATCCATTGGTAATTTCTTCTGAGTCAAAGAATTACATTTAGTTTTGATGACTTAATTTGGAGATGATGTTTATTGGAATGAATCATGTGCCATTGATTATTTAATATGATTGTTGAATTTTTGATGAAACTTGATGAACTAATGAAGAACATGAAGTTGTTTTAAGAGTCTTTAAACCAACTTCATCACTTGAAAGTTGGATGAAAGATGGAGTCATTGAACCCCAACCCAAAGAAATATATAATTGATGTGAATCATGATTGATATTTTTGTAATGCAAGAATTCAAAAATATTGTGGTGGAACAGGTGACATGTCAAAATTTCTATGTGAAATGTTTCATCATTTTGATAATATAAATTTTGAGAAAAAGGGCCTTCATTGGAGTTAAGGATTCAAACAAATGAGACAATAAGGTTAGGAAAGTGTCAAGTTCAATTCAAGGTCATTCATAAAATTCAAATGTATAACAGGAAGACAAGTAGCAAGTTATCATCAAATGAAGCTTGCATATGATCTCAAATTCCTTTAAGCAATAATTGTGGTTAAAAGAAGCTTTAAAGAAGCTGTAGTTGCTGAAAGTTTGAAGTTGATATTGATTGAGGCTTTGAGTAAGGACTCACTTGGAGAAGAATAGAAACTTTGGTATAGAAGTGGAGTAGATGATATTTTTCTCACATAAGATTTGGTTTTCTGTTGAATGATCTTATGCAATTTTTTTGTATTTGTGATATTAGATCTTGATTCATTTTTGAGCCATTCTTCTGGACCCTCATTTATTGCTTTGGGATCTTGCAGCCAACTGCTGATCAAAGTCTTCACCAGAGGGCAGGAGGACAGCGCATAGAGAGAAAAATATGTAATGATTTGCTTGGTCTGATTATCATTAGTACATACTATGGATATATGTATCTCCTGACTGAGCACAACTCCACAGTCTTGCAGGGCACTTTTGAACTGGTAAGTTTGGTGCTTCAAGTATGAGCAGCAGTTTACTGAATGTGGGACTGAGTGTTAGATGTGTCTACATTGAAAAAGCAATTTTTGTTAGACTCAAAAACTCAAGGTTCAATTGTAGATGCGCTATGTATCACACCTGTTGTGAAATTGATATCTGTGTGAAAGTCTGAGAAATTTCTGGGGAAGGAGATGTGCGGCGCCCGCCGCTGATTGGGCTAGTTCATTTTAAAGGCGAACATGCAATTCAAACAAAACCTGACAAAATATGCAATTAGCCCCATTTTTGGGTTTTGCACATGTGGCAGAAACCATTTTGTGACAATCAATTGAATCTGTGCTTCACTTTGCAATTCCAATCATCTATCTACTGCTATCTCCACCACCGTGGTCCACCTGATTCTATACATCCAAGCCTAGCCCACCCTGTCAATACACCCAATCTTGCTCTTTACACTCCTGAGTCCTCAGATTCATCTCCTCGTCCGTGAATTTCATGCAGATCCCAGCTTGCAATCCACTGTAAGGAACATTGGTGTGTCCTATTCCAGCCATTCAAGCTTTCATCTATGTATACTAATCAGATTTTCTTTCAGCACATTTACCCCTAATTAAAATCCAGGAAAGGATCCTGTCTAAATCATGATTTGATCGTGTCGAATTTCCCGGTGGTGCAAAACCTTCACTAATCCAAGCTCAGGAAATCAAGCATCATAATCATGACTCTCCTCAAGGCCCCAAACCTTTGACCACGATGCACAACTTCCACCAATCACATCACCCATTTACCTCGCTTCACTGGAATTGCTCAACCCGTGGTCATACATTAAATCAAGTCGAGACACATTATTCAACTCGACTTCACCAACACTCAACTTCTTCACCACCTACTAAGTTGTAAAGTGGTATGTATTTTTGTCTATGTATGTCATCCCGGTAAGTTTTGAAATTCTTCTTGTCTACAAAAGAATTCACTGATGGAATTCCTTCTTCATTCTTAGGATATGATAAATCATTAATTAACCTAATTGATCCATCCCCGTTCTCAGCACTCCCCATCAGATTTGACATGAAAAACCCATATTCCTTATACAATTCCTTGTGAGGAAAAGGGCCAGCCAGTCTTCCTTCTTTAAAATCAGACCTTATCGTTTTTTCAATTTGTTCTCTTGCTAATGAAGCTGATTTATGATTAGGCGGGGTATACCACCTTTTATTACCCACTTTATGTTGCGCAATACCAAGACAGAAACCTTCTGTAAAGCCTTTCACAATATATTGTACCTCTCTTTCCAATCCTGCCTCTATCATTAATGCTTCCCATTCTCCAATCTTCTTCTGACTCTTAACTTCTGCTGGCCATGCTTGTTTAACAGGTATTGCCAAGATCTTCCTTCTCCAGAGTGGCAATGGTTCCGGTCTCTCGTTCCCTGACTCATCTTCTTCACTTGAACTTTCGATCTCCAATCTCTGGTTTTCTTCAACAACTTCCCTACCTTTCCTTACCTCACTTATTGTAATTACTCTGCGGTTATCACTCTCTCTTTTCTCACTTCACTGTGTTCAAACAATCAGAAGTTAAGTTACTAAATTTGTCTTTTATTACCACAACTTGGGTTATAACAATATTAATCTTTATTTCTAAAGCGTACCAATTTACAAAATAAAGCCAATAACACAAAGAAATTTTTCAACAAGTTCCAGACAAATTCATTCCAACCAAATCATCCCACATCAGCCCGAGACATTATTGGATCAGTTCCAATCGTCATCATTTCATATTCAACACAGCAAGTTTTATCAAAGAGAAACCTTATTAACACCTTATTCATCTTCAAATTTTTGAAAAAGAAAGAAGATGCTCACCTATTAGTAGCAGCAACATTCTCCTGCCCACCACCTACTCCAGCATTCTTATTGTAAGTCTTGTAATTACTCGTACTTTGAAAAGTACCTTGTTGGGCGTTTTCATTCGTTGCATTCTGACTAAATTGCTGATTCGGTCTCAACAGCTGTGGGTCCACGACTTGTTGATTTATTGGATAAGAAGCAAAAGATTGATATTGGGGGTTCTGGAATTGGTTGGCATCATGGCCAAATTGATTTTGAGATCTAAAGTGGTTCATGAAATTGTGAGTGTAATTCTTATTACCTCTCATTGGGCCATTGTTTTGTTTAACATTATTGTTATGATAGATCCGATTACCACCTCTCTTTCCCCTAAAATTATTCGCACCACCACCATGAGTGTTCAAATCTCCATGATTTGCTCTACTTTCCATTGGTTTACTCGAAGTTGAAGCTATCGGACCATGATTTAGCCCAGTCACTACCTGCTTCCCCGATATGAAGTTGAACCCATGCTTTGGGTGTCCCGGAGCATAGGGGTTGTCCGTATACATTAAATCTCCAGCTAATTCCATAGCCCATCTTGCTGATTCCACCACCTCCTCATCTTTGCCTTCCGGTAGTACACAACATCATCTTCAGTAGTTCTCGGTTGAAATATGTAAGCTCTAATCGCCAAATGATACCTCAGGGCCACCATCCAACAATTATACTTCCTCTTTAATTCAGTCACAATAACTTTATGTTCATCAACAGGATTTGCATACTCATCAAGTTTATACAACTCCCTTGCATATCTAGTTTCCAAATCACACATTTCTATGAAATCGCCAAAGGTGAGTTGTCTTTCCAATTCTACTTCTGAAACTTTCAATTTTTACTTCTTTTTCTTTGACCCCGAACTACTTGTTGATGTGTCATATAATTCTAGATAAGACCAATCAAAAATCATAATCGGGACATGATCTTTAAACTCCTTAAACGCTTTGCTCCATTTCTTTGGTAGCGATGGTAAGTCATGAGACTTTGGTTTCTTTTTCTTAAATTTCAACTTCTTTTTTAAAATGGACTTCTCATGAAATGAATCACTCTCGTCTTCAGCTGATGATGAAGACGCTTTTGACGAGGTTTTTGATTTCAAATCTGAGTCCGATGAGGAGGGAGATGAAGGAGGTGAGGCTTTCCTCTTCTTTTTCTTTCTTTTCTTCTTCTTTCCATCTTCACTCCCATCCAAAGATTCATCACCATCTCTTGGATCCATTTTCTTCTTCTCCTCATTCCTCTTTCCCCTTTTCTCATTCACTTTCTTACTAACACTCTCTCCATTCTCAGTTCTACCAGAACCTCGATGAGGTGGGGGAGGTTGCACCACCGACAAACCACCTTTGTGCCTTTCTCCATGTTGATCAAAGAACTTTTTCGCCATCTGCTTCACCTCCTTTGAGGAACTATTCTCCACAGCTTTAGCTAGTTCTTCCAACATAGCGTATCTCGTATTGGATTTTGCTTTCTGCTTTCCCACATTTGTGACTGTTTTTCAAACAAATTGTCCCATTTTGGGTAACATCATATCAGTTATGGATCCAATAATATTCAAGATATTTATTGGTCTGACCCATGGCGCCTCTGGCAGCCTCTTCCATCTAGGGAATATTCTCAGTAAGTGATTTCAATCAACTCCTGGAATCGTCAAGTGATACTAGTCACTGACAAAGCCCGGTGCCTACGGCAGCTACATGGGTAACAAGAAATTATGAATATCTTTAGTGGGAATAATAACTTACCATTAGTTCTGTCAATCAGGTTCTCAGTTGCACTCGATCAATCATCATCATTTCCAGGTCCGTTTTGAATGTTTTCATTTGATGGAGTCTTCCAATTGAATTTGACCCTGATTGTTTTCTTTCCAACTTCATCTTGATTTTCATCTTCATCATCTTCTAGATCATCAACAAATTAATCACCCTGACCACCATTCTCATCCTCATTCATATGACTTCCAAACCCATCTTCTTCTTCATCATAACCATCAAACTCTCCAATACCACCTTGATCTTCCTCATTCCTCTCTTCAAATTCATGATCCTCCTCTTGATCCATTTTCTTATTTGATCTCATAGTCTCTTGAATACTTATTGCTCCTCTCAAAGCTGCTCTTAATGCTCTTTGTTCAGCCTGTATTCGTTCCTTTTCTGCTTGTTCTTCCTTTCGTGCTTGTTCTTGTTTTGCTGCTAAATCTGAATGAAACTTTTTGTAAACTCCGTAAAATTTTCTTCCACTGTGCTCGTGGACCATTTGTTATTGATTAGATGCAAAAAAGAAATTAACTGAAAAGAGTTGTAAGACAACTCAAGATGAAAAGGTTGCTAATCTAGGAATGAGAGAAGACAGAGGAGGTGGCAATGAGTTAAGAATTTTTAACTCAATATCTGTATTACCACACAGACCTTCTCACTTCTCTTGAGTCAAAAGCCCCGGGTACCAGTACCGTGGCTTTTGTAAGCTCGCACTCTAGATGATCAACCTTACCCACCATCTTGCAATGGACTGATGCATACCGTCGCAAGCTTGGGGTATCCATCTATTGCAATTTTTTCCAACTGTATTTTTTGCAAACTTTCAAAAAATTAGAATGTATGTAAAAATGAAGAATATTTGGGAAAGATACAATTTTCCGAACAAAACAATTTCCAAACATTAATGTTCAGAAAACAGTGTTTGGAAAAATCTATGTGCCCATAAGTAACTAAGTCCCTTCAGCCCAGAATTTCTGCACTCCCTGAACACTTGCAGGTATTGTTTGTCTTGCCACAGATTGCCACTTCACACTGGTGTCTGACCTCACAACTCAAGGCCATCTCATAGCTTGACATCCCATGACGCCAGCTCATCTCAGCTCATCCACAAGTCATCATTCTGCAACGGACACGGAAAAGCAGTTATTTGGCTTTTATCCTTCCTCTGTTTACGCATTATCAAGGTCAACTTCTATGTAGGACGCGATCTCTGGAAGTGAGTTAGCTTAACAAAGCTCTCGTCCTGCGGCAGTGCGGACACGGCCGCGCAGAGAGGGCGAGCTTCCAATTGTGCACTGTATGTTTCTACATCCAAGCCACCTTCCTATGTCGTCTTTGGGATACTTCCCCTCCACCGGTGTTTCCACCGCAGGACTACCTGTCCAGCTATGTAGAGCAGTCTATACAGTGTAGCTGTACAACTGCTCTAGACAGTGCTATGCCCTATTGCTCGTTATTGCTCGTTATCGCCACCATCGCTGCTTGATTGACCTCAAAATTGCAAAAAAAAATCAAAGTCCCCTATTGTATATACCCCTTAAGGTAGGTTAAGGTAGCGCCAGGCCTTAAGGAACAAGAAGTTAGAACCCACAACCAACTCACAAGTCACAATCACTTCACAATTCAATCAGAACCATCAACCATAACCACCACCACAACAACAACAACAAGAAGATGAGAATCAAAATTACACCATCAATAGGAACTCAGGATTCAAATTGATCATTCTCTTACTTACTATAAATCAATTAAGGAAAGATCTTACTAGACTGTGGATATCCTGATACATCAAATCACATCAAATTACTTAGACACTTTATCAAAACTAACACCATCTTTAGATTTTTTGATCTTATCACATCCATTATTATTTTCATTGCTTTATTAGCATATTTAATAACTACAGTAAATTTCGGGTGTCCAATCTACCTATCAAACAAATGAAAAGATTAACAGTAGAAGGATATCATTTTCAACTTTCAAATCAATTTGAAACTGCAATCAATCAAGATGATTATTAAATACTTTACAATCTTGGAATCAAAATGTTTCATAAACACCAAATCATCATTCAAATTCAAATCCAAACCAAACTAATCAATCACCATATTGAAATTAAAATGATCAAGTCATGAATGAATCAAAAGATGTAATCAAAAATGAACCAAAAAATCAATCAGAACCTCAAACTTGAGCTCAAGATCTTTGGATTTGTCAATAAAAGATATCAAAGATTCATTCAATAGTATCACTGCTATTTGATATTCTCAACCTGTTCATTTAGCAGCCTAGTATCTATTGTTTCTCAAATTGATCCATGAAATCCATCTTTAATTGATGTATCCTTCCTTACATATGAATTACTTTCACTTACACATACAGCACATCGATCAGGCCATACAATAGGTGGTACAATTCAGTCATTAAGATCTCACAATCCTCACAATTAAATCACCTTCCAAAGTTGCTAAATCTAATTGATCAAAACTCAAACTTGCCGGTTTTTGATGGAGCAAAGAATCAATGCCCAAGATGAAATCTTGGCAAAGTTCAAGTACTCACTAGTGACCTTGAAGAGGGTGACTTATTTGATGAGTGATTTTTTGCTTTGCATTGAAGATGAGGAAGAAATTATAAACCAAACAGTATTGAGTGCCATCGAGAGAGTGTTGAGTTTGTCACTTCATAGGTTAGGATTCTATGGTGATAAGTATATGTAATGTAATATATTTATCTACTATGCTTGAATGAGAATTATTGTGAAAGAAGATTTGTTTTGTAAAAGTCTCAGGAACAAAAAAACTAAAAGAGTGTGTAATGTGAGGAGTATGACAGCAGGATTATAACTTTGCACCTGATAATTTCAAAAGATTTGCTTAAATTCCAGTCAGGATAGTATATTTGAGATATAAATAGCCTGTGTATATATCAGAAAAGCTTTGAGGCACATTTAACCAAATATATCAATGAAAATAAACCTTGGCAGCAAGAGTACTGAGGCTGAGCGGGCAAGACATATATGGTAAATATAAAGATCACACTATTTGGAAGTGATTTTTGATGGTATCATCGGAAAGCCCTAATATTGATGGACCATTTGACCTTTTATTTGGCCATGTTGACCAAAAACCACAAGCTTATTAGTGATCATGTCCTTGAATTCACTGTGCTGGACGGTGAAGATAAATGAGACTATGTAGATTGTTGAATTTGTGATGGGGTGGTCTGGTGGTATTTCATTAATGCCCCAGCATGCACAAAAAAATGAGCTCTCTTCCAAGACATTTGGATTACAATTGAAAAAGTTGTTAAAAATTGTGTCCTTGAAACTCATCATGCAAAATAGTACTGGACGGAGAAGGCAGATGCGGCTACGGGGATTGCTACATAAGCGGTGAGTGTAATTCACTCTAACATGTGCCGAAAATATTGTCCATTTTTTAAGGGATTTGGATTACAATTGAACAAGTTATCAACAACCGTGTCCTTGCAACTCACAATGCAAGATAGTACTGGACGGGGGGTATATATACAGCTATGTGAATTACTACATATATGGTAAGTGTGATGTTAGTGCATTCATATTTTACTAATATGTGCGGAAAGGATGAGCCATTTTTCAAGGATTTTTGATTACAATTGAAAAAGTTATCAACAATTGTGTACCCGCAAGTCATAATGGGGAGATAATGCTGAACAGTGAAGATAACTGTGGCTATAAAAATTTCTAAACATGTGGGGAGTGTGATATGATAGTAGATTCATGAATCCCTAGCATGGGCGGAAAAAATGACCCACTTTCCAAGCAATTTGTCCCAAAACTGAGAAAGGTATGAAAAATCTCATCATCTTGACCCAGAAGTGTGACACCAAGTGATATGTGCAAGCACCACACAACTGCTTCTTTTGAGTAAAGTTGATGAGATTTCCCATAACTTTCTCAGTTTCTGGGGAAAATGCCTGGAAAGTGAGTCATTTTCTCCGCCCATAATAGGGCTTCATTCATTTACTATCATATTGCACTCACCACATATGTAGTAATATTCATAGCCACATTTATCTCCACTATTCAGCATTATTTCCCCATTATGACTCCCAAGAACACAATTGTTAATAACTTTTTCAGTTGTAATCAAAAAACCTTAAAAAATGGCTCATTTTTTCCGCACATGTTAGAAATATATGACTGCATTATTAAATCACACCTACCATATATGTAGTATTTCACATAGCCACATTTATGCCCCCCGTCCAGTACTATTTTGCATTGTGAGTTTTGAGGACACAGTTGTTGATAACTTGTTCAATTGTAATTCAAATCTCTTAAAAGATGGCTCATTTTTTCCGCACATGCTACAAATATAGGCCTGCACTGTCACATTCCACTCACCACTTATTTAGCAATCCCTGTAGCCACATCTGCCTTCTCCTTCCAGTACTATTTTGCATGATGAGTTTCAAGGACACAGTTGTTGATAACTTGTTCAATTGTAATCCAAATTCCTTGAAAAAGGGTTCATTTTTTCTGCTTGTGCTAGGGCTTTGTGAATTGACAATTATATCAGACCCATCACACATGTAACAATCTACAGAGCCTTGTTTATCTTCCCTGGCCAGTACCATTCCATATGCTGAGTTTTAAGGACACAATTGTTGATAACATTTTCAATTATCATACAAATGCCTATAAAAAGGGCTCATTTTCTTTGCAAAGGTTAGCAAAATATGAATGTACTATTACATCACACTCACCACATATTTAGCAATCCCCGTGGCCATGTTTATTGTTGCTGTCCCGTACTATTTCACATAATGAGTTTTAAGGACACAGTGGTTATTACCTTTTTCACTTGTAATCCAAATGCCTTAAAAAAGGGCTCATTTTTTCCTCTCATGCCAGGGATTATCAAATTACACCCATCACATATTCAACAATCTACATAGCCCCATTTATTTTCCCCGTGCAGCACAGTAATTCACAAGGACATGATGGCTAATAACATTTTGGTTTTGGTTGCGGTATACCAGAGCCCTTGGAATGCAATTTTGCATCAAATAGAAGTCTCATGTCATGTCATCTGTTTCTTAGAAAAGAAAAGAGATGGGGCATCTCTCAAAAAAAACATATTTTTGTCATTTGATCCTCAACTTAATAGAACTCAATAAAACAGAAGCAAGATACAAGACAAGAAAGAAACATTACAATCTTTACATATCAATTGGTAGATATACTTACAGGCTTATGGAAAATATGAATAAAGAAAATGAGACACAAGACAAGAAAAGAAACTATAATTCAACTTGAGATCAATCCTACATCTGAATTCCTTCATAATCAGTACTAGAATTCATTGATGATTTGATTAAAACAAACAAACCATCCGATTTCTTGCCTTGTCTACAATCACAATCAGACATACTACTACTAAAACAAATATTGACAGTCATTCAGGATGATTTCAAACAAACCAACCACGGAATATTATCTTTTGTATTAGTTGAAGTCCAAGCTGTAAGATTCAATTTAAGATCATTTTGTTTATGATTTCGTTTATTGATCGGTTTACCTAACGAGCAAACATTTAGAGATCCAGGATTTGATCAGCAATGTGTCAGTGTCCATAGATGCAAGGAAAATACTTTTGGTACTTGAACCACGAGTAGGAGGTGCAAAGGTAGTATGTGAATTTGGAGTTGGGGCTTGATTGTTAGGAGTGATGATCGATTGAAGGATAGGTTGATTGTTGGGATTGATGATAATTTTAGATTCATTAAGAGTATGAATTTAATTTGGATCTGAAGTTAATCGATGATGATGAATCGATTCAGATTCAAGTTGATTTGGTTGTTGAGTAGTGATCATGTGTTAAGCAGTAGGAGTCTTCATGGCTGGAGTGAGAGTATCTTGTTGATTGTTATCGGCGAGAGTATCTTGTTGTTAATCGTTATTGTATAAGTCACACTTCAAGGTCACTAGCAGGCACTTGAGCTTCGCCAAGATGTTACCTTGAGCATCGATTCTCTGCTCTATTGAAACAGGCAAGTTTGAGTTCCGATCGATCAGATTTAGCCGCTTTGGAAGGTGATTTGATTATGAGGATTGTGAAGACTGCGAATTCTGGTGTGAACAAGTCGATGATGGCGACGAGGTGATTGAAGTGGATGTGTGAAGCCGTGTGTATATGGCCTGTACCAAGAGTATATACGATAGGGCTAAGAGCATCCACAGTGGTGGGCTCCAAATCGGGGCTATCGCCAAATTTGGTGACTGAGCCCCGATTTTTTGGTGCAATGGCAGTCCCCATCGCCAAATTTTTTTGTAGCCGGCTTCAAATTTCGAGCTTTGGGCTACATATTTGGCAACAAAAAGCTGGGCTCCAAATTCCCGCACTTGTTCAATCCCATACCTCACACATGTAAGCTCACGCGTACCAATCTCAAAGTGTGTGTAAACACATAGAATCTACACTTTTGAAGTCCGAACGACTGCATCCGGATTGATTTGGGGCCCCACCAAATTTGAATTCGCTCGATTTGGAGCCCCGATTTGGAGCCCACCACTGTGGATGCTCTAAGGGGACTTTGATTTTTTTTTGATTTCGAGGGTAAACAAGTGGCGATGATGGCGATAACGAGCAATAAGGTCCTGGTGTTTCCCACTTTGCCGTTTCACCCACTTTTGCCAAATTTCTCCGGTCTCCAAGTCGGATGCTCTAATTTACCAAATATGTGGACCATGATGAACTGTGACGTTGGATTATAAGTGGCGTCATGAATTTGGCTGTGGTTGGCGTTTGCCTCCCTTCAAAGCCATGTGGTTTTCCAAGACCGCAACACAAATAAAGCCAATCCAAGGCTATTTAAGGAGGCTTCGATTTGATGGAGTACTTTCCCAAGCAACTTCCTCAATTGTCACTTACATCAATATGTCCTTGAAGAATTATCTCACCACTAGTGTGATGTTGATCACAATGTTTTTATTTGTTGACCTCAACCCAGTCAATGCTGCTAGGAAGATTGATTGTACTGGTGCATTCAAGATCAAAACCACCCTTCAGGGCTCCATCTACGCAAGTAAATCTGTTTTCCTTTTTACAAGTCTCTCATACATAAATATGTTCTGATAATCTTTTTCTTTTTGTCTGTAGAGTGTAATGTGGATACAATAGGGAATGAAAGTTACAAGTGTGATCTTGACCAATGTCATTGTAAGTTAGACAAAAAATGGGTGCTAGGAGAAATCTTCTAGGTACGAGAATAGGTTACGGGGCCACGTGATGTAGCCTCGACAAATTCTTAGAAAGCCAAATTCGCGTCTTACGCGATTGCACTCCTGTGCAATCTTACTAAAAATCCCTCATTACCTTCCAAGTAATGAGAGCTGTTTACCATTTGATTTACTTATATTCAAAGTGGATGGTCTCGAACTATTTGTTCTTCCCACTTCTCATCTTTATTTTAAAGATCTTCATTCCTCTCATCAATAGTATTCTCATTTACTCGAGACCAGACCTTATTTTAATCTTCCTATCATTGTCCTGATAGTTGATTAATCTAAATTAAAATTGTATCTTTACCGTTCCATTACTATGTCAAACGTCTCAAACAATGTTTTTCAAACGTTTCAACGGATCGATACAATCCTTACCGATTACCAAGAGGCTGACGGTTCCAATAACCTCAACATGGAGGACCTCCGAGATCTTTTTGCCGAGATCATCCCCAGAGACGACCCTAACTTCGTCTTCCATTTCTCAGCCGTGGCTCGGTTTGCCATTGGCCTGGATTTCAGCGCCGGTCGACCTTTTCATGGTACCGGTGAAGGTGATATCAACGACACTCGTGGTGTCCCAGTGTTTATCCTGCCTGCCAGTTCAGAGCCCCCGCCACAAGTTCCGTGGCGCTACATTCCTAAAGACAGACCTACCCTCAAGGGTAGGTTTATGCTTAAGGAACCCTCCCCGAGAGGTTCGGAAGAGGCCCCTGTTGGCTCTCCTTCGAGTAAGCGAGGTCATTCCCCTGTGGAGTTACTTCACGCTGAACCTCCCCCTACCTCTACAGGTCTTATCAATGCTCCACCTAGACCTGTACTTCCTGGCCTTCCCACGTTCATTCCGTCTGGGATTGGTCCACCGCCTCCCCCTCCTCCTGGACAGCCTCCCGCTCGTTTGGATCCCTCACCCGGTCCTTCTCGCTTTTGAGATAAAGGTAAAGGGCCTGATGATCGCCATCGCCATTCTCCCATCGCAAAAGGTACGACTGGTAATCCCAAGCTTGGCAATCATCAAATATCAAATCGAGGCCTTACTACCCCAGGGAATCCACATTTCAAGATTCCTTCGTCATCTAGTTCACGACAATCTAGTGTGGCACTTCGAACCAATAATAGCCCGCCACCTATTTTTCCGAATCCGACATCTCAACAAATTCGTGCAAATATGCCTGCTCATCCTTGCACGACTTTCGACATGAACCCTGTTCCTCCTCCCGTCTTATCAACTGATGTCTCCTCTTCAAGGGTGTATCCTTTCAATATCGATCTCCCTGAAGTGGCTAACAGTGATTTTTCTGAAATTGCCATGCAAGTTCGAGAAATTTCTCTATTTTATCAAAAACACATTAAGGATTCTTGCGCTAACTACAATGCTTCCAAGAACAAACCCGTCAATTTTCCACCTACTCTTATTAGAACCCTTCTCGAATATTCCTTCATTGATCTTGCTCAACTCAATGCAGAACAAAACGTTTGCGGTATTTCCAGGACGCAATCACTTGACGATACGGATTTGCATAAAATTTGGCAATTCACATCTTGTCCTCAGCAAAAACCTATTCCCGTGGATAATGTCGCCACTTTCCAAGACCTCATTGGTATTCTTAAGTTCGCTTATATGGCCGTTTTCCACCCTGCCTTGGATTCTATTTGAGAATACTTCGACAATATTATCGAACACACCAAATCTCGTAGAGCCAATATTCCGCTTCAGAATATTATGGCCTACGATAAAGCTTGTCGATTGGAATTTGCTTGTCTCCCAAACATCACTTGGGGTGACTACAATGCTCGCGCACTTAAAGGTTTTGAAAGCCAATACCTTTATAGGCAAGAAATTTCCAAACCTACTCCCAAAGCTGCTTACGAACCTCGTCCGACTCCTTCCAACTCAAAAATTAGGAACAGGAAACGCACAACTCCTGCCCCATCCTCCTCTCAAAACACCGCAGCTGGTAGCAGGAAACCATATAAGAAGAAATCCAATTTCAATGTTCCTGATGCTGATCAAATCTGTTTTAATTGGAATCGCAACAAGTGTCTTGTCAAGCCTCCTAACACATGTCCTCACCTGCACGACGTCTGCAATGCCCTCGGATGTGAAGAAAATCATCGAGGAAGCGAACATCAATGACGATATCGGTGCTCAACGATATCTTTGTGATCTGGAATTCGACGCAAACATTTTCACTCATTCATCCCCGTCTGTTGATTGGTCACTCCACGCCCCTCCTCTTCCTGATCCTCCGCTTCCCAAAGATGATCCACTTGCCGACTATGCAGTTAAACGACGTCCGGATCTCTTTTTCGTTAAACATAATTTTAACCTCCGTTTATTTGCCAAATTATTAACATCACATCCTAATCAAAATTTAGTTAACTCAGCCATTAAAGCCCTGGAATTCGGCTTCATGCCGCCCCTATGCGGTCCAACCCCAAAGAAAACTACTATTCGTCCTAATCACCATCTTTCCGATGAAGATATCGCCATTGTCATCAAAGCTCGAGACAAAGAAATTAAAATGGGCAGGTACTCTGCCGCTTTTCACACTCCCATTTGCGGCATGCAAATTTCCCCCCTTTTTATTGTCACTAACAAAAACTCGGGTAAGAAGCGCCTTGTCACGGATATGAGTTTTGGTAAGGATTCCATGAATGACCTTATTGACAGGGGCCTCGTCCATGTCGATCTCGACCGTATATCACATTTTGCCCCTTCTATGCTGAAGTATCACCGCAAAAACAAGCCATTCCTTATCTGGAAATCTGACGTTGATTCTGCATTCAGAAATCTCTTTGTCCACCCCTATTGGCAATTCCGCCAGATTGTTCGAATTCAGGATTTATATCACGTTGATAGATGTCTGAATTTTGGGTGTGCCAGTTCTCCCCGTATTTGGTGCACTTTCTTCTCCCTTATCCTTTGGATAGCCTTCCATCACTTCAACATTACCGATCTCTCGGCTTATATGGACAATCCCTGGGGCTTATGTGGTCCTGAACTCGTCGAGTTCAAAGGTCACAAGATCCCTATTAACCAAGCCAAGTTCTTACTCATGTTTGACGAACTCAAAGTTCCTTGGGTCTGGGACAAACAGGTCTTTGGATTTGAACTCGAAATTATTGGTCATTGGATCGACTGCCGTAACCTCACAATCTCCCTTGCCGATGATAAACGTCTTGCTTTAGTAAAAGCTCTTTGTGAGTTCATCATGCCCTATCACCGCCCTCTCATCGAGTGGTGGAGGATTACAGGTTGGTCCTCTTGGGCCCTCAACATTTTTCCTATGGGCCGATCTGCAGTACAAGCTGCATATTCAAAAACCTCCTCCAAATCACATCGCCACGCTCTTGTTCCCCGAAACAACGTCATTCGTGACGATTTCACCTGGCTCGCCAATCGCCTCGAATCCTGGGACGGCCGTTCTCTCGTGAATTCCCTTTACTGGAGACCAGCCGAAGCAGAAACCACTTTCTTCTGCGATGCCCGTCCTGACGGCGCCGGCGTCTGGAATGTCAAGTTGAACCATGCCTTTTCGCTCATATTTCCTGCACCTTCCAGGAATAACTTCTGGGCGGAATTATTCGCCGTGGTTTCAGCTATTCGTATTGGCGCCGAACTCGGTTCTAAAAAGATCCTGATATTTACTGACAACACTAATGTTTCAGATCTATTTAGTTCTCATCGTCCCTCGGAAATTACTCATGATCTATTTCGTTATGCAGTAGACCTAATGCTGGAACATTCCTTGCGAATTAAGGTCCGTCATCTAGAAGGGCTCAGAAACGAGATTGCCGACGATCTTTCCAGGGGCAGGACCGACAGAATTCGTAGCAACTTCAAGAAAGCTCAATTCTTCGAGTTACCTTTTCCCTCTGAATTCCATCGCCAAGGTATTCCTCCTTCTAATGAATTCCACCAGTTCCTCATTTGACTTCTCAGCCATCGATCTTCAAGTTGAAAATGATATCGTCGCCAAAAGAAGAACCGTTACAATCAAAAAATACCAATCAGCCTATTGTAGTTTTGAAAAATTCTGCTTCAATCGAAATACTCCTCCGATTCCTAATGAAATCACCCTTCTTCGCTACTGCTCCGTTATGTGCCGTAAACTCCGTCCTGATACTGTCAACGGTTATCTCACCGGCATAGTTTATTGCTGCCCTCAATTCCTCTTCGCTCGTACTGCTCGTATGTCTGACAGAGTTAGAGGTCTAATCATTGGTTGCAAGAAACGCTTTTCTAAACCCATCAAAAGAGCAAATCCCATGCTTATCGAAGACATTGACTCCGTTGTTTTAGCCGCCACCGATCTAGACGACTTGCTCTTCGCTACAATTCTATCTTTCGCCTTTGCTGGACTACATCGTAATGGCGAACTAGTTGTTCCTGACTGCCACTACGCCCGAAGCCCTGGTAATTTCATCAGACGCTCATCACTTTCCATCTCAGAATGTCGCAACTATATTAAATATCTACTCCCCTACAACAAAACGGATCAATATAGTCGTGGCTCTCCCATCTACATCCGTGCTCGGAAACATTCTCCTTCTGACCCGATGTCTCTTATAATCAACTATCTTGCCTGGAGAGATTTGAAGGAATCGTTTCCCTGTGAACCTCTACTCTTCATTCGGGCGAATGGTTCTTATCCTACTCGCAGTTGGTTCGATTCAAAGATGAAATCTCACTTCAAAAACACCCGCTCCGGTCATTCCCTTCGCGCAGGTGGTGCTACAGCCTTATTTCAAGCTGGTCTTAGCAAGGATGCTATCAAGTCAATCGGCCGATGGTCCTCCTCTGCCTTTGAAACATACATCCGGGAACATCCTTTCCTAGCCATGCCTGCCGTAGCATCACTCGATGTTCGCATGGGTACTCACATTGGTGCATCTATTGTCTTCAAACACTAAAAAAAAAAAAAAAAAAACCCCGTTTCCCATGCCTAGTAAGTCTTCTTACTGTCTATGGTTTTCGAGAATTATAAATTACTGAACTACTCCCTTCCTAGGTTGTCATGTTTCTTTCTTTTTATGTTCTCTATCTATCCTCCTCTAAGGTCGATCCATTTTTGATGTGTAAGTCCTCTTACTCATCTTTACTAGCAATCATACTTATCCTTGTTTCTTTTCAGATTCATTTGGATGACTATCTCTTGCTCTTCCCCTGCGGTTGTTCCTGCACATTTTTTTTTTGTAAGTTCTTACTTTTAAAAATCTTGTCGCATTTACTCATCTCTCTCTTCTGTAGATTGACATGATGACTATCATTTGATTTTTTGTGATTCTCCCCTGTGGTCGATCTCTGGCATTTCTGTAAGCAATTACCTTTTTGCTCAAATTGTCACTAGCCTCATGTCATATCTCCAGCTTTGCTCTAGATGACTATCTTTACTCGATTCTTCTTCCCCTGCGGTCGATCATCTCTCTCTTGTAAGTCCTCTTACTCCCCGAGAGCCTGTTTCGCATAACTCATCCTCTTTCTTCTATCAGACAGAGTTTTGATGACTATCGTTTCAAAATTGTGAATCCCGTACTGGTCCTGCTAGTCTTTAGTAAGCCTGCTTACTTCTTTCTACTTTTTTCGTCTAGATTCTGATTCATCTACCTATTCCTATAGGCCAGATGCATTCTTATCTTTACTATTTTTTCCCGTAAAAATCTATACATATATGCTCTCATTGGCATCTTATTAAAAAGGCTCCCTTTTTTCCATCAAACTTCTCTTTAAGTACCCATCATATACTCTTATACTAGTGGGTGGAAGCGGACCTTTTTATTAACCTTCTAGTAAGTTGCATGTACACCTAGATACTATCCTGTATAGTTTCTCTTCTACATTGCAACTAGGGCTCTACGCCCCGATTCAAGCTAAAACCTTTCGACTATGAGTTTTAGCCGGAATCACACAAGCACCATACCTATTCTTGGGTGCTAGGAGAAATCTTCTAGGTACGAGAATAGGTTACGGGGCCACGTGATGTAGCCTCGACGAATTCTTAGAAAGCCAAATTCGCGTCTTACGCGATTGCACTCCTGTGCAATCTTACTAAAAATCCCTCATTACCTTCCAAGTAATGAGAGCTGTTTACCATTTGATTTACTTATATTCAAAGTGGATGGTCTCGAACTATTTGTTCTTCCCACTTCTTATCTTTATTTTAAAGATCTTCATTCCTCTCATCAATAGTATTCTCATTTACTCGAGACCAGACCTTATTTTAATCTTCCTATCATCGTCCTGATAGTTGATTAATCTAAATTAAAATTGTCCCACCACTCCTCTCCCTTTTATGATATTTTGTAATACTTTTTTAGTCCGCCCCATAGCGGACCTTTTTATCAACCTTCTAGTAAGTTGCATGTACACCTAGATACTATCCTGTATAGTTTCTCTTCTACATTGCAACTAGGGCTCTACGCCCCGATTCAAGCTAAAACCTTTCAACTATGAGTTTTAGCCGGAATCACACAAGCACCATACCTATTCTCTCTCTATCAAATTTGTATACACATTGGAAACTGATTGGAATCGGAACCATATAATGAATTTACAGATGTGAATTATTTGAGAATGGACGGCTGCGTGCCTGTAACTTTCTACGGAGGTCAAGCCACTCCCAGTGCCAAAAAAAAATTTTACACCTACGGATACTACGACACGCAACATTACAGTCAGTAAAACTTTTCTTTTCTCATCAACCCATCACACAAGTTGTTTTTGTTCATCCCATCTTTTATCATCAAACATCTTCAGCCTGTAGGAATAAAGATGCTCACGATTTCATTTGCAATCATTGGTTTACGGACAGACCAGTCATATGTACGTCTGACCATTTCCTACTAGAGTGAAGTTAAGAAATCTGACGACAATATTATCTGTATCTGTCTTCATTCAATCTGATAGCCTGCGATTGCTAGAGTTGTGAACTCTTCACCTGAAAGGCTGCCGGAGAATTACAAACAAGGTGTCTTGACATAGTTCTCAAAATCGTACTAAAATCCTTCTGTGTTACCTGCTTCAATCAAAGTTTTCATTATTTGAGCATTTGATTAGGAATTCCAGTCATAAATCTCAGAATCAGTCGGTATCCGAGAGTGAGTGTATACCAAATGTGAATAGTTGGGAGCCGATATCTCGCTTTTGGAAGGTTATTAAACATTGACAGCACAATTTCACTTCGAAGTACCCTTCACTACACCAAATGTAATCTTTACCGGGCGGTAAAGAAAACTACTGACATAGAAAAGTCTTGAGGCAACAGGAAGAGAGCTAAAAATCTGAAAAAATATACACCTTGTTCCTAGATGTTGGGGCGTCATGATGAGTATTTTTTTGTATTTTACACGCAGATATTGGTTTATGTACTAACAATAAACGCTGAAAATCATCAAAAACTCACATGTAACAATACTTGAAATTCAGGTCATGAGTATGAAGACAATATTTTGTGGTCTAAAAACTTCAATACCTTTTGCAATTCTGCTCCAAATAACTCGATTTTTGGTTCATTCAAAAGCTGAACTATTCTCCTTCACACTTCATAATGTTAGTAAGGTTCTATCTAGTCATTTAAACACTCTACATATGTTCAAACAGTTCTGCATGAATAGCTCTGTAGGATCTTTTTTAGAACAGCTACAGATGTGATGTCTCAATGAAAAATTTAGAGGAAAGCCTCACCTTTATAATGCACTTCAAATTGAGTGATTGGATTCAGAACTGCAAAAGGTATTGATGTTTGAAGATTCCAAAATCCTGTCTTCAAAATCAAGGGCCAAATTTCAGGTATTGTTACAGGTGGGTTTTTGATGATTCTCAGCCTTTATTGTTAGTACATTAACCAATATCCGTGTGTAAAATACAAAAAAATACTCATCATGACGCCCCAACATCTAGGAACAAGGTGCATATTTTTTCAGATTTTTAGCTCTCTTCCTGTTGCCTCGGGACTTTTCTATGTCAGTAGTTTTCTTTACCGCCCGGTAAAGATTACATTTGGTGTAGTGCTTGTAGTACCTTTCTTGAGATGTGTGGCATTCAAGTCGAAGAAAAGGATGTTTAGGAAAGCCAACTTGACCAAAATATAGCCAATCCATTCAACCTAAAGAGATCCCCTCGGTCTCTCGGAATAAATCGAGCGAGTCTCCACTTGAAAATTTTGTACCAAAACTTCATCTTTTGGGACAAATTATGTTTATGTGCTTAGGACACGGAGACTGAGTTGACAATTCATCAAGCTTAAGGAGTGAGCAGAGCACAAGTATATAGCTACAGTGCCTGATAGCCTTGGGCTCAGGAGTCACTTTGGTGAGGGAATTGGTTAAGTTTGAGGGACTTTAAGCAAATAAACAAAACTTCCTGGTAAAGCTGGGCTCTGTCATACACACCTTCTGGAACTGATCACACCAAGCCTTTCAGGAAAACAATATGTAGGCATTTTGGGATCTCCAGACTCTTCACACTTTTATTAAGTCCAAGAAGCATGGATATATCAACCTATGGTACATACAACCCAACATTGTGGTATCTTTTTAATACAGCTGTTTGCATAAAAAACGCCGTCGCCCTTTTTTATTTTTTTTATTTTTTCAAAGTTGCACTAAAAATTACCAATGTAGATTCTACGTAAGAGCTGTGGTAGGCTGTACTCAACTTTCTCAAGGGTGCAAAGTTTGCCAAAGATCCTGAAAGATCACAAGTATTGCTGCCTTTGTATCCGAAATGCACAAGCTTTCTCAACCTTTGGTATGGTTGCAACCAAAGCTCAGCATCACAATGGACAACCCGGCACCAATAGGGCATGAAAGTATTTTGAGCTTCATTCTGAAGCACTTCTAACCCCTCTGGCTAGACTCCGCATCCCGCCTCAAGACAACAACGTCCAACCGGCGTGCTCACATTACCCCACTGTGAGTAATCCAAATCGGAGAGGGTAGAAGGTGTGTCTGTGATCGGAGAGGGGTGAAGACGAGTCAAAAGGTGGGACAAGATCAAAAAAGGGGATCTGCACATATGCCATACAACCTTTAAAGTTCAGCACATCATGATCAACTACAGCTGCTCTTGATGTAGAACTATGTTGGTAATTTTTAGTGCAACTTAAAAAAAATGAAAAATAAAAAAGGGTGACGGCATTTTTTATGCAAACAGCTGTAATCACATTTTGTAGTTTATTTTAGTTGGTGATATGATCATCTATTACGTTTATACATATATACCTGTGTCCAGATTTTGAAGTTAGACTGGTGCTGCTGTGAAAGTGGCCAAATAATAAAAGGAACAAAAGTCGGGGATTTGAAAGCCATTGAGATATATAGACTGTGCATTAGAATCAAAGTACACATCATCACTTGAGCTTCATCAGGATTGAGGCCGTAAGTAAACTCCACCAAACTAATGAGGTGTGTGAGGAGCTATGTAGAGGCCAGGGTGAGGGAGCATGAGATCTGTGAGTGATGTGAATGTTTCAAACTCTTGTTATCACGTGTGTGGAGTTGACAGGTTGTAGACTTAAAATTTGAATACAGCATGTGTATGTAGAGGTATGGCATGTAGTAAAAGCCGTACATTACAGTTCACTTCATCTCACTCAACTTGAACTTCTCAACTTCTCAACTTCAAACGACAAGATAATACAATATTAGGAACTTGATCTGACTTCTTTAGTTGTCAGTCCATCATCTGAATTCATTCTCCAATTTCATCCATGAATGTCCTGACCCTTTTGTCCAATGTCTATTTGAGCTTATCTTCAAGTAGATGCCTTGATAAGATTGATTCTCACAGCTTGAGAGAAATGTTAGAACAATTAGGAAAGGTACTATTGCATAAAGTAATAGAACATACCTTGAGAGAAATGTTAGAACAATTAGGAAAGGTGAAGAAAGAACCAATCCTATCTAACAAAACGAAATACAATATATACTATAACTATGCTAATAGATTATAAGGATATTGAATGAGAGAAATAGTATTAGCATACAACTATGATGTCATACACAATAACACATTAGTGACATTCATAACACCCCCCCGTGCTAATAACATATCTAAAACACATTCAAAGCCAACCTATGCCTTATTAGTAAAACCTTAGATAAACCTTTAGTAAACATATCCGCTAACATCTTTGAAGAAGATACATGAAATAACTTCACTATTCCATCCTCAACACACTGCCTAACAAAATGAAACCTCGTATGAATGTGCTTTGTTCGTGAATGGTGTGACGGATTTTGAGCCAGGGCTTCAGCGCCTTCATTATCCACACATAATTTAAAATATTTTTCCTTCGTGATATTTAATTCATTTAATAATGAGACTAACCACCTTGCTTCTCTACACGAATCACTCATGGCCATATACTCAGATTCTGTACTAGATAATGAAGTTGTACGTTGTTTTCTTGATCTCCACGAAATTGGCCCATTTCCTAGCATAAAAACATACCCTGTTGTTGATCTCCTTTCATGTCTATCTTCTGCCCAATCCGCATCTGAATACGCCGTTGGAATCAGATCACTACCTCCTGTTTTCGATTTCGACTCTTTTGTTTTCACCAAATAACCTAAAACTCTCATCGCAGCATTCCAATGAACTATTGCCGGTTTCTTCAGGAATTGCGATAACCTATTCACCACAAAAGCTACATCCGGACGCGTACACTGTGCCACCCACAAAAGACCTCCTATCAAACTCGAATATGGATGTTCTGTCATCATATCTTCTTCGCTTGAAGGAATCAAAGTTTCGAAGTTATCGTCGTTAGGTGAATCATAAACTCTACTTTTATTCTTCATGAACTGCTTCTCTAGATTTGAGATGTAGTGAGTTTGATCCATTGTGATTTTATGATCAACTACTTTTGAAATGTTGAAAGATAAGAAATGCAATAGAGGCTTGTCGGAAGAAACTTCAAAACGTTTGCTGATTAAACTGCGAAATTCTTTGATTTCTTCATCCGTTCCAGTTGCTGCCATATCATCGACATGAGTTACTAATAAAGATTTGATGTTATCATTTTTGTCTTTCTTGTAATATAAAGAAGGATCATGTTGAGATCTGATGTAACCAATAGAAAGAAGAAATTCATGTAATTTAACATTCCATTGACGTGGAGACTGTTTTAAACCATATAATGAACGAAGTATTTTGTATACCCAATCCGGATGATCCTTGTCTTCAAATCCTTCAGCTTGTTCCATGTAAATTTCTTCATCTAAATCTCCATTTAAAAATGCAGTCTTGATATCCACAGCGACGCCTTTCCAACCTTTTTGAGCCATAAGACTTAAAAATAATCTTACTGATTCTTGTCGGCTAGTCGGTGAAAACACTTCTGAGAAATCTACACCTGTTATTTGAGAAAAACCTAATGCTACTAGACGAGCTTTGAGTTTATCTATTGACATATCCACGTTTCTTTTAGTTTTAAAGATCCATTTACATCTAATAATCTTTCTTCTAGCAGGGCGAGGGACTAATTTCCAAGTCTCTTTACCAACCAGCGACTTCATTTCAGCCTCAGCAGCCAACTTCCAAAGATCCCAGTTGACCGACTTCTTAGCTTTCTTGTAAGTTGCCGGATCCTTCACTGATTCAATGAAGGCCGCTCTTCCAAATTCACCGTATCAAACAGGTTGACGTCTTGCTCTTATAGGACGAGATGGAATTGTTGTTGTAGGAAGTTCTTCTTCTGATACTTGAATGTTCTTATCAGTCAAAGTAATTTCTTCACTATCTAGTGTTGGCCAAGGAAGAATGTTAATATCTTTTGGCATGGGAGAATTCTCTGATTGGAGTCTAGGGAAGACTTTGTCGAGGAACACTAAAGAAGTAGCTTTTAAAGCACACTTCTTTTCTGTATCCCAAACTATAGCTCCTTCGTTATTGATTAAATACGAAAGAAAAATAGCTGATCGTGCTCGTGGTTTGAGCGTCGAATTTGGTTTTATGACATGAAACCATACTTGACATCCAAACGAGTGGAAAGTATGTTCTTGACGTTCATGAATACCCAGTAATGAAATTGGTGTTTGAAATTTGTCGTTCGTTCTTGTCGGCATGTTGTTCAAAGTCTCTGTCGCATATAATAAAGCATCTCCCCAAAATCTTTCTGGTAAGTTAGATTCAATTAAACAACATCTTATTTTCTCTTTTATTGTTCTGTTAAATCTTTCAGACACACCATTTAATTGAGGCGAATCCGGAGGTCCAGTTGTTTGAAGAATACCTTTCTCAGCACAAAATGTAGCAAAGTCTGAATTTATATACTCTGTTCCATTTTCTGTTCTTAATTCTGAAATGATTCCTTCAACTTTAGTACTCATCTCATTATAAAACAGTTTGAACTTTGAAAGGACTTCATCTTTTGTTCTCATCAAATAAATTTTAGTGTATTTCGTAAAGTCATCAATAAATGTTACAAAATATTTAAAACCTTGACGAGATACAATTGAATAAGATGATACATCTGAATGAATTACTGCTAATGGACTTTTTGATCTCCAACCTGCCCGACTCGACATATTTCTACGTCTCATCTTCCCCTGAATACAGATGTTACAAGTTTGTAACTTCTTAAGTTCAGCTTCATCAACATTCAGTTTCAACAATGACAATTTTCTTTTTAAAGCAGCGTATCCTGGATGATTAAATCGTCGATGCCAGAGATCAACATCAGAGACAGAAGCTTTTGAAGATTTGTCGAAGGATTCTACTTTACTTACCTCATGATTAAGGTAGTATAAGTTTCCTTTGCGTTCTCCTCTAGCTACTACATCCCCTGAAACCTTGCATTTCTTAACAAAAGATACTCCAGTTCGATTGAAAACAGATGTCTTTATCAGCAAGTTTAGAAACTGATAAGAGGGGTTCTGATAACGATGGAACGTAAAGAGACTTGATGTTGTCGAAGTTATGAAAAGGTAAAGCCATCATTCCTTTAGAAGTAGCTTTCACGATAGATCCATTTGCCAGACTGATCGTAGTATCGTCAGGTTTCTTGTTGATAAGAATTTTGGAAACAGGAGTCATGATTTGTGAAGTACCCGAATCCACTAGCCAGCTGTTCGTCTTTCCAGAAGTCGCTTTCACAGTTGCTGCTGCTGAAATCTCGGAATTGATATGGATTGATTTATCAGAATCCAAATCGATGAGAGAAGCTGATGCTGCTTTAGAAGCTGCTGATTTCGCCGCTTTCGCACGTTTGATTGCACTCTTGGTAGGCGGCTTTGGACGTTCAGACTCAGCTTTTTCGGCTTTCAGTACTTTATACTTATAGATCAGAGATTTCAAAATGCGACAGTCGTCGATTAGATGGTTCGATTTACCACAATGTGACCAAATCTTCTCTTTGAAACTCGAATTCTTAGCAGCTGAAACAATCTCGATCGTTTCTGATGACATCGATCTTTGAGTTGCCTCTTCACGTAATACCTTCAAGATTGTAGTTGAAGTGACTGTATCACGTTGTAGAACTTATAACCCAACAAGGGTTATACAGAGCTGGAAGAGGATAATCTACTAATAAAATGACTAGTAGAAGTTGTCTAAGGACTGCTCTTCTAAAACAACACAAACGCCTTGAACCTTTGATAATGAGTACTGATAAGGCACCAGAGAAATATAACTTCACACGTAATTACCCATTTTCGCTGTCACGAGCTTCTTTAACCAGAACATGATAGAGCCGGATGACGCATCCTGATGCGCTTCGCGCAAAGCGTTCCATTGACTCTTTGGATCGTCTTGGTGAGGAGATAAAAACTCGTAGTTCGCTTGATCAACATATCGAAGTAATAGAGCAGATACTTTGCATCTATCGTGTTCTTCAGTAGACGGAAGAGGATCTGGCTGAACATCTCGTAAAACGTATCCATATGCGGATCCTCGAATGATGGTACCCATCACGAATTGCCAATGATGATAGTTTGAATTCTCACCAGGCGCTTCGAGTGGTTTAACACCAGTTGCCTCCAATCGTTCGTGATTGTAAGTGAGACCAGTTGATGGTTTAATTTCAGTTCGAGATGAATCAGTTCGTGGCATTTTTGAACGAGTTATGTTTGGCGAAATAGATGACGATGATGGTAGACTAGTTCTATGACTATCTCCAGCAGTGGCCGAAGGTACAGACATATTGATTGTTTGTCGATTGGAAGTTTAATAACAAAAAAAGAAAGTTTGAAGTGGTAAACTAGATCTCCGAATATACTTATTCGAAGAGTATCGTTTGAGTTTTCGGAGAATATTGTTGATTCGAACTGAGTTTATCGTCTGGCAGTACAGACGGACCTTTCCTGAGGTTTTCTAGATGGTTTTTGAAAATCGATCGTTTTCAAAACCGTTCTTCGAGCTATGATTTTCTTATATGGAAATGTGAGATGGGCTCATAACCTGATAAGATTGATTTTCACAGCTTGAGAGAAATGTTAGAACAATTAGGAAAGGTACTATTGCATAAAGTAATAGAACATACCTTGAGAGAAATGTTAGAACAATTAGGAAAGGTGAAGAAAGAACCAATCCTATCTAACAAAACAAAATACAATATATACTATAACTATGCTAATAGATTATAAGGATATTGAATGAGAGAAATAGTATTAGCATACAACTATGATGTCATACACAATAACACATTAGTGACATTCATAACAGGTACTTTCTGGTGTTCTTTGATTTCATAACCAAGATCATGAAGTTTTACTTGAAGTCACACTTTGGGGCATATGCTTACCGGGGATCCTCCGATACGGGAACACAACGTCTTGGAATTTGTGTACTTTATCTTCTCCAACTTCATCAACGGGCACATCACTTTTCAAATATCTATCATCTGGGGCATGAATGTACTCCGTCACCATTGGCTAGACGTGTGATACAGTATTCTTGTGGTTCCCAGTTGTCAAATTTGTTTTTTGGCACATGCAACATACCGTGTTCTGCCCGACAAAAATAACCTTACGCCTGCTACAGGACCCTGGATAGTTCCTTCAGATCTCCCTTGGAGAGATCCCTTCTCCGTGCAAGTTCAAGGGGAAGGGAGGGCCGATGGAGTTGAAAGGGAATTTGATGTCTGCTCGTTTACAAAGTCCTTTGCCGCACGTTTAGATTTGTTAGATTTGAATTTACAAAGTAGAAATAGGAACCCAAATCATTCCTTGTACCCCAGAATGGAATAAGGCCGCACAGACTCAGTGCAGTAATTAGATTTGACTCCAGCTGAGAAATGTTGAGTGTCCATCCCTTACAAGTCTCTCAAAAGCTCTCATGAAAAAAATTCCATCCGGGGAGCTCATCTTGAGGTCTAACACGGTCAGTCGAGATCTGCGCAGTAGCAAGTGGCCATCAATGATTTAGGTGATCAATTTGATTCCATATTACAAGGAAAGATTTGAGTCAGTCAGAGTGGGGGCACCAGACTGAGGGTTTTTAGAGAATTTTTGTGGTTTTGGAAAAGGATACAAAATGACCACAAAATGTCAACACTTTCCTTCATTTGCTATGTCAGGTAAATCCTTTAGACCAAAATCTTTCAAACTTATCTTGATACCTACTGATATCCAACACCCATGTGTTCAGATTGATTGAATGATCACCACGACCTTCATGTCTTTGTGAATATATGTGGTTTCAGATCATAAATTCTCAATTCAAATGCAATCACACAAACTTTCAAAATTCAAAAAAACTATTCATGCAATCCTGAATCTAAATGAAACTAAACTAAAATAAGGTGATCAAAACAACACATTTACAATTCAAAAGTAAAAAAAAAGTTTTCCATACTACTACTTAAAAAAAGAACTTGAAAGAACGATATACATCCAGTAAAAAAAACCCACACATTAAAAAACAAAAAAAGACAAAAAAACCCCATCACATTCATTTGTTTTCTTTCTTTCACTTCTCTCAAAAACTATAACCAATCAATTCCCATACAAATTTGTTTAGAAAAAATTGATTTTAAAAAAATTAAGTCAACCAAGAAGTAAAAGAACACACACACACTTTGCAAACTTCAAGATACTTTTTTCGAAGAAAAGATAAATAAATAAATATCTTGTCATCATCATCATCATCTTTCTAATACTTTTAATCTATTCTTCTACTTCAAAGAAATCACTGTTGTTGCTTTTTTACTACTTATCATCATATAATACTTTCTTTTTTTTCAAACTGCTAAAGTCTCATTGATCTATATAAGCCAAATCAAATATCAATATTCAATCTAAATCAACCCAAAAAACTCAATCAGACAAAAAAATTACTTACCAATTGTACACACAGCCTTGCCACTCTGTGATCATACTCTTTACCTCCAGTAGCACTTCCATGTCCAAGCACACTACCTGCTTCATCGCTCTCATAAAAGCAATTATGGATCAAGATCCCAGAGAATCCTAACTGTGATAAGATTGAGAGTAAATCAGATGCATCAATCATTCCTTCAGTTAACCGTGCAAGGAACGGTGATCCCACTGCTCGAGGATGATGACTAAGAACCAAAAGAATCAATATCATTTCGTCAATATTCTATATAAACCAATCCTGATTGATATACTCACGGGAACATCACGGTCTGACAAGCATTCAATAACGTCGTATTCTCCGAAGTTCTCATAATCTCTTGAATTCGTCCTGATAATTCACTTTGCCTATGATGAACCAAACAAAACCATTCAGTTAATCTCTCAGAAATGTGATTCAAAAGGTCTCAAACTCGAAAAGAAATAAGACTTACACCAACAACATGATATGAGGTATTGAATCTCGATGCACAAGTTCAGCCAACATTCCATACAGAAATACCAATTCTGATTCATCATCTGCTGTCAAGATCAAACTAGTCATCAAGGAGACTACCAACAAGGCTGTCTCATGATCTGACAAGGCTAATTGATCGACGATGAACCCATATGAGATTGATAAGGATGTCGAATCAAATCCTTTTCGATCCACTCCTGCCAAATCAAACAATCGAGCTAATCTTCCCGTTCGTGCAGCGATAGGCAAGAGGGTAGTAAAGTAAGGTAAAGATTCAGAGTTGATACAATATGATCCATCTTCATCAGGTGATGGCGATCCTTTTCGATCCGCTTCGTGTTCTTTCGTAGTTTGAATCAACAACATCTCCAAAAAGTCCTCTGCATCCTGTGCAATCTGTGCATGTCTCAGACCTTTGATCAATGCACTGGAGAGTGCAAACCCAAAATAGGCCGCGCCCTCATTTGCATTGCCTCCCTCTCCGTTGTCGAATCGTAGACCACAGCATTCATCGATCTGCATCAAGACTTCAACCGTACCTTCATCACGAGAATCGAGGAGGTAGTGTGAGAGATGATGTTTACCAAGGGTCTCGGATTTACAAAGCTCGTGTACAGCAGATCGGGTCAACTTCAGAGCTGAAGCATAAATTGCTGGATCCTCGATTTGTAAAAGTCCTACACCTGTCCAGAAACATGCAGCTCGATAAGGTGAATTTGATCCGACCCCCGCCAGGACTTTTGCACTACACGAGATGATCGAAGTTGCCAGTGATCGATCGACCCCATTGGATTGTCCAAGTGCTGGTTTGAGGGCTGATAAGACTTGAAATAAGAGATCATCGTCAACCTCTTCGGTCAATAAGAATCCTAGGACGACAAAGGCCCGAGGTTGAAGCGCAGGGTTTGCCTGGAAACAGGTCGACGTAACCAGACTTGCCCATCGTGATCGCCATCGATTAGCCGTGTCTGTAGAACCAGATGATCTTAGCCTCAGTTGTAATGCGTACACGATAAACAGTGGAAGAGAGAGGCTTACCTAGTGTAGGCGAAGCAACTCTAACCACCTCAATCAAAAGCTGAACTATTGATTCTAATGAGATTGATGAGATTGGCTCATTTCGTCCGTTGAAATCATCCTGATCATTTACTCTCACTTCATTTGGATTCAGTCCAAAGAGAGCTTGAGTTGGACTTTGACCGAGTCTTTGTAAAATCGCAAACAAGGCATTTCCTTCCGTATTTGTCGCCTGTTGTTGCGATAACGAACACAGGCACGAGATTGTGTTGACGACAATCGAGTAAATTGAAGAGCGATGGCTTGCTGAACCCGTGCCCACCAACATCGTTACAATATGTAACATGTCCGGTAAGTAGAGCTGGGATTGAAGATGAGCAGTAAACGAAATGCTCATTTCCATTCTGATCAGAGCAGTGATCTCGGGCCATTCAGGGCTATCAGCAATCATAGCAACTGGCTGACTAGTAGTACGGGCGATAGCCTATACGGGTCAACAGAAAACACAATGCGTTCAATTGTCTCCTCCTTTTTGCTTTAGATGTCTAATGAAGGGTCACATACCCGTCGTAGTCGATGCAAAAGCTTTCCCTGGAAATTAATCGAATTCACCGATACCGCAATCTCACATACCTCCGTAAATCGTGGAGAATTAGGCCCAAAGTTGATAGCCGAGACGGCGAGCTCTTCAATGACTAGAGGAAGAATAGTCTCCTGTCTAGCAAGTGAAGGCCAAATACGCGCATGAAGCATGCTCTGCATCTGTTTTGATATTCAAACCCACCAACTTGATCAATAACTCGAAGATGATGGTGTACTCAAGGATGCAAAGGATGACTTACCTCAACCTGATTCAACGTCAACTCGATCAACCTTCTCAACGCACTCTTCACTTGATTCCTCACACCTTCATACTCTTCTCGCGGACAAACTAAACAACTCGCAAGGTTCTGTAACCACGGCTTGAAAGCGTGGATATAGATCACCAACTCGCTCGGGCTAGCAGTCGAAACCGTATCAAAGTATTCATCCACAAATGAGAGCGTCACTGATGGCATCGCTCGTGCAAGTCGATCACTAATATCTCCCACAAACATCACTCCTACTCTAGGAACGTATCCACCTTTTAAACCAAAGAAAAACCTTTTCAGATCCATTGTCCCTCGCTTACATGGTACGAAGCATCGTTATGGACTAACCTGGAACGGGTACAATGTCATCTATCCGATCAATATGCATAGCTCGTGCCAAGCCCTGTAAAAAGCTCAACGCTGACATCCTAATCGAAGGATCCGAGCTACAGAGATTGAAGATCGCTCCATTCAATAAAGATCCATAGATGATCGATGGTTTCAGATACTTTTGTCGAAACTCGAAATCCGGTGGACCTGCGAAAAGCTCAGCTTGAGCAGCGCTCAGAGTCTTTGCAACGAACCAGGTATAGCTGTCAATGTTCTGCAAGTGCCTGTTCTTAAAACATGACCACTGACCTCAATGATTCGATCCGTGTTCACGCTCACAAACTTCAGAACCCCGCTACAACCATATTGCTTGATGATGAAACCAGGATCAGAATGGACATTCGACGGCGGTAAGCGTTGCATCTCCTCAATGTCTTTCAGTCGGATGACATCGTTCAATGTACATTTCGAGTCGGACAACAAGTCAAGCCGCTTAGCCTAGTCATACAGATCAGCCGTCAGCATGATTCTAACATCCGCAAAGCTCGAATAATTAGATGCTTACTGATCTGATCAAAAGGCTCTTGGGCCCAATATGAAACACGACTGGGATTTGCATTTGGAACTGTTGAAGATGAGTGACATGACTAATGACGATCCTCTTGTCATGAAACATATTCCCTTTAGAGAAAAACATGAGTGCTAATTCGATAGGAGATTTTGAACGCAGACAAATATGCAAAAGAAAGCTTACATGAATTATTGGGTAAAACTTGCTCATAGTTAGGTAAGCAGGATGCTAATTCATCTAACGTGTTAACAGCCTTCACTGCATTAGTCCATCTTCGGTCGGTCCTCTCGGCTGCGTGTTCTGTCATTCCATGAGTATGAAGAATGTCTCCGTGTGAAAAAAGCTAATGAAGTTTAATCTTACCGCTCAATTTTTTCAAGTATCTCCTAAAGGTTGCATTTGAATTGAAAACCCAGATATTGGCCACATACATCGAAGATTGAGCAGGTGCAAGATCGAGTAATTGTCTAAACCAAGGAATCGAGATTTCATTCATAAACGAAAACCCAGTACAATCCAAAAATATTGAAAACGGTCCATCGACGTTCTCCAAGCACTATGACACAATTTCAAAAACATCAATTTAATCCTTTTCCTTCATTTAAACACACTTAACCAGGTGAGGCTCGAATTACGTTTAGGATGTAAAGATAGAACGATTCCAAATCGCATATCTCAGCTTTGATCTTACATGCCAACAACACGAACGTCGGGGAGGCTTGATTCTAAATGCATAAGTCATCCACCAAGAAAAAAAATTAACTTGTGCTGCAATTTGATATGATCATGAACAAATGAGAAAGAGAAATTGATGTACCCTACTCCTAGGAGCTTCAAAGAATGAGCCTTGCCACATTCTCACATCTGGAGCCTTCAATAACTCAAACTTGGCCAAATACGCATAATAATCAGACCCGTTCACTTGATTCTCATTAAGTGGTAAATCTGGATCGTTCGATCCAGGTGGTCCGATCTCATTCATCACTTTTTGTAATTCCGTCCAAATCTCTTGTCCCATTCCAGGTGAAAGTTTCTCACTACCATCATGCCAATGTTTGAAGAGTGTAGGTTGTGATGCTTTCAATTCAACTCCGATTTTATCCATATGATCATAAAGGAAGCGATGTAAGACGTATCGTGATGCTTCATCCAATGATGCCAGACCTTCTTCAGATGTCATCATCTCTGGGTTATCATCCGTTACCAAGCTCTCATCAACAGACTAACAATCGTCGAAAAACCAATCAGCCTAGGCCCAAAGAAAACAAAGAACTTCTCTCACCGATATATCCTTCAAGAACCTAGTCATGGGATAAATATTTTTAGCCATGAACGGGTTCAATGCCTTCATGGCTGGCTCTCGTGCACCAAACCGGATATTGTTGGCTAGAGCTTGCAAGACCCTGGTAATCATCACCAGTGATCTCCTGATCTCACGTGTATCGTTTGGTAGATCGAGATCGATAACTTCAGGTGAGACGATAGCCGGATTGATAAATCTCAAGAAAATGAATCCTCCGATTGACGTAAAGACACTCTCCGGATACCGTTCTTGAACTGTTGTAGCGATATGATGACAAATCTCTCGAATCGCACTGATTGAAACAAATCAACCTCTGAACCAGAACCTCTCCTGAGAAGATAAAATAATTTCTATTACCTGGGTAACTTTTTCCACGAGACTGCAATCACATTCAAAAATGCTTCGGTGACTTGTTCCAAGTTTCTCGAAGCTTCATCATCATCAGCACTAGCGCGATGTGGATCAAAATCCATTGAAAACTCCGATGGTTTGTTCGATAGTCCAAGCAAAAGATTAGCCAGCGTGTTCCTCAGATAATCATAACCTTTAGCTCTAGCAAAGACAGTCAAGAGTCGAGTAGTGAATGAGTTTCCTCTGAAGACAGTTGATTCATGTTCTATTGGTCAAAGGAAGGAACATTAACACAAGACTCCTGGACTGATATTGAGAAACAATCAAGCGCACCAGTCTCTGAGACTTCTTTTTCAATCACCGCCTTCAAAAATTTGATCACTCCTTTCCGACAATCAAAGATGTTCAGGATGATCTCCGTCAATTCTTCAAAGTCAGCTGAACCACAAACCTTACACAAAGCCAATGCCAGCGTAAGATCAGGACGACAAATCATCTATGCAAACAAAAACCCATCATCTCATCGTTATTTCGTGTTCTCCCTTGTAATATGAACTGGAAATGGACGAAAAGACTCACATCTATGATGTTTTCAAGTCCATTTTCTTTGACAGGTCTCACCAACTTTGGCAATTGATGTCCACTCTCTTTGATCACATCCCTCAAAATCTGAATTTGAGCTTGTCGAATCCTCAAGTCTGGATGATGAAACATATTTACAAAATATCGAAAAGCTGGATTCATATTCGAACTCATGAGTTTGATCAAACAGTTCATCGTCTGATCTCTAAAACTAGATAGTTCAACTAATTCTCGTGTAATCGAACTCAATTCTCTCTGTAGGGCAGCTGTGGGTTCTCGTGCATTCGTGTTCGGTGCCTTAGGAATCGCAACACAAAGATGTAAGGATTTTGTTTTCGCTGATAGATACGATTACAGAAACAAACCACGGGACCGCCAAGTGCCAATTTTTCGCGTCGATTACGCGTTGCGATCGCCTAAAGTATCACCAAAACCCACCCACGTTTCTCATCAAAAAATGTCCCCGCGCAACGTGCAGATGATAACTTACTTCAAGCTTAGCAATCTCCGACAACATATGAGTAAGGTAATCAAAATGTCGACTGAACAATCGAGTATATACAGTGTTCTTTGATGGTGCTGGGAGGAGTGATAGTTGATCGTTATTGTTCTTCATGAACCGGTGTCTAGGTTGTAGTTTCAATCCATCATAAAATGCTCCGAGTGCTTTTAGACATGCCATATTTAAGTCACGATTAGCTCGATGTCGACTTGCTTCTTCTGCTGACACGCAAGACACCTGGATGTGTTACGCAACCCAATAATCAGAAAACACAGAACGATGGAAGTGAGTGAGTCCTTTCATTGAAGACTTAAAACAAAGACTGAAGTACATACCAAGGTGACAGAAGAAGACCAAGCTAAGAAGTAATCAATCATCAAATTCTTCACCATCGTATCTTTAACAACCAACCCTTTTTGATGGTTCACCATCATCTCACTCAGTTGAGCCATTTTATATTTAATCCGACTTGAAAACCCTTGATTGCTCTCAACTGAACCCGTGGTAAGATTACTTAATCGATTCGTGTATCGAGCAAAATCAATAAGCAACTCATTAACTCTCTCAATTGCACCCTCGTTCAAAGGTTCGTTCAGCCGCTCAATAAATAAGCGTAACATTGAGATCGCTTGTTCGATAAAATGCGTGAACGGGCTCTGGGGTTTGGGGCGATCGTGTTCGAAGAAGTGTGCGACGATAGATTTCAGATGTTTGAGTAAGATTGGAAACAGTGACACGCTCAGTTCGGTCCCTAAAGCATCTTTGACTCCTTCTCGCATTCTCAAGTCGTCAGCCACTAGAAGATCCACCATTTCCTATCAATCGTCGTATTTGTTACCATCACATCACATCTCAGCCTCTGTTGTCATCTTTGAAGAAAGGCGTGCAGGAACTTGTATCTGACCTGTAAATATCTATCCACATTCCTTGCTCGATCAGGTGTAGCATAAAACCTTTCCGGTAGCAAATCGGGTGGAATGTGTTGGGCTAAAGATGAATTTGAAGAGTGAGTCTTGACTTTTGCGGGCTCATAACTGGCAGTCGAAGTCAACAATCCTGATATACTGATCCAAGCATACGTATTTTCCTATGGAGTCCCGAAAATATCACGCATTAATTCGGTCTATGAGGAGGAGATATAGAAGAAATGGAAACAAGACTGACTTGAACACCTTCACCAGAAAGACCACCAGAGACCGTCACAGGATCTTGGATGGGTAAATCTCCAGAATGATCATCAAATGGTCGATGACCAACTAAACCAGACAAGATTTTCCATCTTCTCAATGCTTCATCCCAAAGAGGATGTACCAGAGGCGAATTCGATGACATTGTCTTCATTACCAATCTAGCTCGCTTAGCTTGTGCAACTCTTCCTGTGTTTTGGAAGTAGATCACACAGAGACATTTGTTAGGTTTTTGTGGTTTGTGAGGTGGGTGAAGGGCAAAAAGTCGGAGCAATCTTACCTCCAAGACCCTTCCCATCATCTGGAAGACCTTGAACAGTCGCAGACAATTGTGTACTAGTCATGGTCGAATCCAATCCGCACACTTTCAAGAGGGTTGGATACCTTTCCAATAAGCTGATCATATCCCTACTACATCTCAGCAAGAGCGCGAGATTGTATTGGTCAACCGTACAGAGGCCGAGGGGAATAGCTAGTCTTAACAAGTGACCAAAGACGATGTAATCAACCGCGTTTGCTCCTGCCGAAAGATACGATTCCTGAGAGCGAGATTGTGATGATCGATAGTCAAGATGAAGCTACGTCATTGAGGGGAGCGGGTATAAAACCAAAGGACTTACACTGTTACCTTTCTCACTATCTTCAACAGCGTCTTTGAAGCGATCCAAATAAACTTTGAAGACATGAAGAACCTCGCGTTCTTCTTCACGATGAGCCCAAGTCTCCAAGAGCCTTTTCAAGATCGATATCCCTACAATCGGTCTTGAATGTTTCAAAGAATGCTTCAAGTCAAGATCTACTGAAATGACATTTTGAGATCCATGCTTTTTGATCGGACTTTCCAGATGACGAGGGCTGGGCTGAATAGGCTGATAGTAAGCTTTGAGAACTTCCATTGTAGATTGCCTGACCGATCTGGGACTTCTTCCATCCAGCAAGAATGTGGTTAGATATATAAACATCTCTAGATCGTTGGGATTTGTGGTGCTTCCACTTGTTAGCCAAGATTGTAACTCAAGTGAAGATCGTCCAGGGGTTGAATGGTCATTTTTTGCGTTCGAGTAGAATGCTAATCGACAATCTTGTGCCCAAAGCTTCAAGATAGCTCTCAGAATATCATTTCGGTGAGGATTTTCGTCCAAGCCGGCTCCTCCGACAGTTTTCGAGGTTGAACGATCGGTGGTGAGATGACTATACTGCTCGCATTCTAAGATTGATGTCATGAATACTCCCCTCAACAAAGGGGCTATCAAAGGATATAATTCTTGCAACTTGACGTTCCAGTTACTCATACAATCTTGGTCATCTTCAGGTTCAGGATCGTTAGACGAGTTGGTCTCGTGAGCAGGTTTGGCGGCTAGTTTTTGACATGCTTGGATGAAAGCGATCTGGAAGGGTGGGAAACTAGTCCGAGATAAACACTTGTCTAATAAGGTTGAGCTCACGTAATGTCGGTCGAGCTTGAACAGGGCTGCCAAGGCTTCTGACATCAGAGATACTTCGACGATTCCGTCTGCATTAGTGAACGGTTTGCTGGGATCTAATAGTCTTGAATTTAAATCTGATACTAAATCTAGAGCAAGTAACCTAAGCCCAGGGCCTTCAGCCGTTGTCTTCGGAGAGAATGTCGCAGCTTTACAAAGATCAACGCAGCAAGCAGTTGCAACATCAGCTAATTTGGTAACCTTGAGATTCTTTCTCAAGCTTTCGATAAAGGCTGCTTTCCTGGCAGTCACTTGTGATCGGTTACGGTCTCCTGCAGCGATCTTAAGTACGATATCGGGACAGACTGCCAGAAGCATAGACATCATGGGCCACGTATAAGCCCTCTTCTTGCCATTTTCAGAAAGACTATGAGCCACATCATAAAGGACATCCGGAGCACCTTCCAATCGACCATTGGAGCGAACGAGGGCGACATATTCGTGGGGATAAGTTTCAATCCAATTCCATATTGAACGCCTTAATGCTAATGCAATGTCAGATTGAGCAGGACGTTGGAGATGAACAAATTGAGCAGAGAGTTCTCGTATGATCGATGAGAGTCTGAATCGATTTAGAGAACAAAATTCGAGTAAACGCGTCTCCGAACGATCTGGAACTCTTCAGGTCCTGACCAATAGGCTATTCGATTCTTAATTTTACCCAAGACGATTGTCCAGTTTGATGCAGAGACGAAAAAGCATATCTTGGCAACTTGTGCTAGGATCTCACTCATCAAGGATGGTACGATCGGTTTCTCCTCAAGATCTCGCGAGGGCTGGTGAAAATTGTGATTAGGTGGACCATTGGGCGATGCAGTATGATTAGTTGAATGGATACTCTGTTTGCGAGTCAGTTCGGTGAGGTGAATGTTTGAACTTCCGATCGGGCCTAATGCTGAGCCAGCGTCTTCAAATCGTTGATGTTCTTTGAGGAAGAAGCTGATGGTAGCTACCAATTGTTATGCTAGATTGTCATCCAATGCGGGCGGATCTGACCAATCGGTTGTAGCAAAGAGATTCGTGGATTTGGAATACGAGGAGGGTGGTGGTGGTGAAGGTGATCTCGAGCGAGATCTTTGGCGTTGAGTTTGTTCACGATGCCAAGCCCAATGATATGACATACAATAACTCAAAATCTTGATCACAAAGAGTTGGGTACGTAAATGATCGACCAAACCAGTTTGTTCATCTGATGTGAATGGCTAAATAAGAAGATCAAGTAAGTGTTTGAAAGACATCAGTAACTGTAAGAAGAGAATATTGAAGATGAGATGACCAACATGAGAAGGAGAATCGAGTTCTTGAAGTAATTTTTGAATCACAAAAGGTAAACGTTGACGACACATTTCGAATAAAGAACTACAAGATTGAAGAATAAGTTCATCTGTCTCTAATGGTGATAGGTGAGGATCAGCTTGATTTGAGAGTTTAGCCATGATCTTGTTAATGAGAGCATCGATCAATTTATCTTCACTAATCGTACTTGGAGAAGGACTACCGATTTGAAATGAGTTTGGACCTATTGAAGGAGGATGTCGATTATGATTTTGTCTTGATTGATGATAAATATTTTGAAATTGATGATGATGAGTAGGTTGAAATGGAATGTTATTGTTCAGATTTCCAGGTGAGTCTCTTCCATAGATTGGATGATCCATGGTAGTGGTAGAATGATTAAAGTGATAAGGTGAGGAAGTACTCGATCGAATAGATTGATCGATGATAGGTGTTGGTGGTAATGGTGCTTGTTGTTGTTGTTGTTGTTGTTGACCACTTCCTGGTAGAATTGATGCTGAGTTAGTTGAAGAACTGGTGATTTGTTTGGATAGTTGATTATTAAATAATGCCGGATGTGATGAAAAGGATGAATAATACATCTTTTAGAACTACAGAATATTCTATGTAAATCAATTCAAATCAATTCAACTTGTACAATCAACTTTGTCCTCGACTTCTTGAATAGTTCTATGTAGTAATAGGTTCTGATACTTCTTATTTTTGGCTTCAGAGACTCGATCTCAACAAGAAATACATATTGGAGGATAATACAAATCAGACTTTGTAAAATTGTAAAGCTCAAGTGCACTGTGCGAGTGACCATTTGAGAATTGAGAATTGCAAAATCAATTCATTTCACTCGCTCTTCTCGCTTCAATTACTATTAGCTAAGTGATCTATTCACACACCAATCGCCTATCAAAGAAACATGCTTTTACATACTTGAATATTTTAAATGAAATGTTGCTTGTCTCTATCATCTTGTCTTCCTTTCATCCGTAAAGTATATTCAAACCCTAGGATTTAATTTCAACCCTTCAAAACCTCCGCATTCAGTAAGCTAAGCAAAAGTTCCACGCTCGCCTCGCAAGGCTTAACTTATTAAGCGAGCGAGGGACTTACGTACTCCAACTTACACCTGA